ATTTGGATTTTTTATGAAAAGAGTTTGAGTTCTATATTGTTTTTTTTAACTTGACTAGCTAGGTCATATCTTGTGTTTTTTTATTTAATTCATATATGTTTACATTATATATTACAGAAAGTTTCTAGTAATAATTACTTGACTATATCATTATATCGACTTGTTGCTATTGATTATAGATTCAAAAATCTATTTTTGCCAAGACTAATATGCTATAGCACTATTAGCATTATTATTATATATTAAGTTTTATTTTTAACTAAAAATATATTAAAAAAATTTTGAAAGGAAAAACTGAGATAGTACTTATTAAGCAAATAAAATTTTGCAAAGAAATTTTTTTAAATCTGACTACCTGCAAATGGGCATACAATTTAATTTTTATCTTTCTAAAGATATTTAAGAATGTTTAAGAAACTTATCTTATTGGTTTACTATTTATAGATTATTTTAGCTATTAGTATTTACTGCAGCCTTTCTAAAATAAGTGATTTATTATTGGATTGAAATAAAATTTGTAGAAAAAGATATCAAATATTATAGAAAAATAATTATCAAACTATCTTATTGAAAATAAATACTGTTACACTTGATTTTTGCCCAAGATCTTTAATAATCCTGTTCAATTTTCACTAGCATTTATATTGCCATTCTAGAATAATTCTTGTATTACTATTCTTGTATTGTTTAATACTATGCTTTTTATACTATTGTTGCTCTAGAATATTTCCTATTTTATTTAATTATCTTTATTCTTATATTTTTGCCAGAACATTTGTTTCTATGCTAATATATAGATAACTGTTCTGACAAATATAATACTTTTTTTATATTTCTATTATTTCTTATAACATATACAAAAATATTATAATTAAAACATGTATATTAAGGCTTCAATTTTGCCTAGGAATGGCAGGCTTGAACTTATATTTTATCAAATAAATATCTTAATCTTTAAAAATAAATTACTATTTCTCTTTCATCTGACATTATACATCTTAGAATTGTACTAATTTGTATGCCTCTAGGAACTTTAACATATCATATTGGCCCTGTTTATCTAAAGTGTCTTTCTGCTACTAGTTCTTTGTCTTTATCTTTCTTCTGAGATAGAAATGATATATGACAATATCTTATACTCCTTACAACTTCTGATAATAATTGTAGCACCAGCTGAATAATTTTTATATTACAATATCTTTTCTGAAAATTATAATCTTAATGCATACTGAATAAACATGTGTAATAGATTTTTATAAAAAACAGTACTTTTAACAAGCTATGGCACAAGATACTATATTAATTCTATTCAATTGCTCTTATATGAAGTTGAACCAATATTCTGTAATTTGATCTGTAAAGCATTAACTACTATGCTATAAACCCACAAGTCATTCTATATTGTTTTTATTTATATATAATAATGTATTTATAAATATTAATTAAAATAATAACTCTTTTTGCAAAAACTCCAAATCTTTAAAAATTGTCTTTTTAATCATTTTAAAAATACTTTAATAAACTTTATCTTAAAATATCAAGAAGCTATAAACTACTTTATAGATTTATATGAAAGTATTATATCTTTTAACTTAATATTAATTATTAACTATTTTTTATTTGTTTGTTTTTCTTTTTATAAAAAAAAACAGTAAACTTAAAAAAAAAATTAGTATTAATTCTTATAACTTCTAGTTAATTATAAATAAGATTCTATATTTTTCTAAATATTGTTAGCAGGAAAATTGTTTAGATGAGGTCCAGTGATATGATATATACATAACATATCTAATTGAAGCAATAAAAATATTCTAATAAATAATAGAATAACATAATAAAAAACTTAAATAGTTTATTTTATAATGTGATAGTTTATAAGTTATATCAAGATAATTTTATAGCACATTAGTTAATAATAGGGATATTTATATAAATAGGAGTGAGAAAGTGCAAAAAAAAAAAGAGAGGCAATCTTAATCTTAAATAAAAATCTTAATTAATATTTATCTCTATTGAAAAAAGTAGCAAAAATGGTTATGTGATACTGGAGTATTAATTAAAATTATTATACATGATAGAGATAGATGCACCCAAAATAAGAAGTAATTAATTAATTTATTCTTCTAAAGTAATATTATCACAAGGAGATTGTCCTAGAAATCATCAAAAAAAACAATAACTTAAACTATTTAGGAAAATGACAAGTAAAAAAGATAGTTAATTATAGTTTCAAGATCAGCTAAGTCAAATCCATGTCTCAAGTAGAAAAAAGAAAAATAACTTATCCTGATATTACATAAGTTTGACCTGCCACAAGAAACAAACTTACCATTCCAACATTAACAATATTAAAAGAATCTTTGTTAATCAGATTTCATTCAATAAATTAGACAATCTAAATATTAATAGAGAACAAGATAAATGTCAAACTTTTTCAAAATAAATTCAAAAACAAAGAACTCAAAAAATATAAACATTAACAAAATTAATTTTAATAATTATTTATAGTTATTTAATTAAATTTTTTTAATATCTAAAAAACCAAACTTAATTTATCTTTATTAATTAATTAATAACATTTCAATTATATATTGTAACAATGGTTGATGAGTCTGTCACTAAGGAAAGTTCAGATTTGTGTAACAATAGTAAGTGTTTATTTATGATAAGGTGAAATTGATATTGGTCAAAAAACTTTTCTAACTAGATTTGATTCTTTTTTATTTATTTAATTTCTTCCTTCTGTTATACATTTTTGCATACTTATTATATAATAAAAATGATAAATACAAATTAAGAAAAACCATTAAAAATTCTTATAACGAAGTAATCGTTATTTAATTTTCAAGCTACTTTTATTATATAATTCTACTGTTCGATTTTATAGTGTCATGATCGATCCTTGCATGACCTGGTCACATGGAAATTATTGCGATTGTATCGTGAATCGACTTCCTTCTAACAGTTCTTATTTTTTTAGGTTTACACTAGTTTTTATTATGCTTATTGTGCTTAATACTGTTGTTTTCTTTCCAATATTGTGGAAAACTCAGAATTCTGTGTAAGGTGTATTACCTTTTCATGTATTACAATATATATGATTTTTAATAAATATCAATATATTCAAAATATGTCAATAAAATGTCGTATACTGTTAGCCAAATAGTAAATTTGTAATCAGCTTGTAATCTTGATCATATCTCAACTGCTGTGGAGCATTTTCCGGAACAGATATAACATAATATAATTCTTTTATAACGATCTGTTATAATTCGTGGATGATCTGGTTTTGGTCGATCGGCAAGGTTTTTAGTTTTTTTAAACTTTTGAGTTATTCTTACAACCAATGACTGATTAACATCTTCTTGTGCTGCTATTTCTCAGGTTGAAAATCCCACCTCAGCAAGTGTAATAATTCGTGATCACTTTTCTAAGGATATACGGGACATAGAAATGTATAGTATCATGGTACTGATAGTAATGTTCTTTATATATAATGTCGAAAAATGATTTTCGGTTTTTGTTCAATTATTAACTGTGCAGTCTTTTATTTGAAAATAGGAAAAAAAAATGCATCACTTTTGTGATAGAACCGTAATTATTATGATTGCTACGATTGTTTTTTTCTTACTTAACAGCCACCCGATTATTTCTTTGTCTATACTAAACTGATTTAAGCTACTTGTATCACTGTGCAACGTTTGAATGACAAAAAAATTAAACACGAAAATTTTTCGGCGGGTGAAGATTTTTTTTTGCTAGCTAGTGTATATTCTCACATTTTGGTATGAGTTAGGTGAGACTGCCTTCTTAATTTAGTATCAATTAACAAACGTCATACGTCACGAAGGCCTTAATCACGTTATCAAACCTATAAACGGCATATAATTACACGCATGTAATTCTACATCCACCTTTAAGTCACATTTCACACTGTCTATTTTTCTTTATTTTACATTGTGACATTATTATAGGATTGATACTGTATATGCGTTTAAATTATTTTAATCAAAGGTAGCCCAAAAGGGTGTGCTATTGATTGTAAATAGCATATGTGTTTTGTATTGCTCGCAACATGAATAATAATATTGCTTTATCCACCATCAAAAAGCAGTGTTTTCTAGAAAATTATGCATAGTTATTTTTTATCGAAGAGGAAATTAATAATATAACAACGTAAATTATGCGAAATTTAATTTCTTTTGGATAGTATGATTTAATGATTTAAGATAGAACTATCATGAAAAACAAACCTCGAACAGAAAAGTTTTTTTATTATCAACAGTATTTGTGAATACGTATACAAATAATTATTGAATATCGCGATAATGTATGCAAAAGTTTTGTACTTAATGAAAATTTAGATGATTGAGGATTTTCCATACCAGTTAAACACAAGTTTCTGGATGTAACATCGCTAATATCCGACCATAAATAATTCTATTGGATTTTTAAATCATGCCTTGATTACATTCCAAATAGCCGATAGCTGTCGTGCAACGTCGAAAGAGGCGGTTTGATCTGGAGTGAGGTAATCATTAGTTTTATAGAAAGTATGATGGAAAATAATAAAGATTATAAGGGCATTTATTTATTAGTTAAGTTTATACTTTATTATAGAAAAAAAATTTTTTTATCATTATTCAGCCACATGCTGAAGTTCTCGCCCCTATATTCTGTATTCACAACTTGTTAATATACGCAATGACTAGGTGAAATTCACACGTAATTGTACAAATTATTCAAAATAAACAAATAAATAATACGTTATGGAAAAACTCTAGATGCCGATGATTCCAGAAAGGAAAGACACGTATAATATATATTTATTGCTTTGGGAGCGAGTCAAGAAATACTGTATGTATTAAATTTAGTGTTACATGATAGATCGTACTTTCCCAAAGATTTGAAAGATTAAAGTCGTGCGGGCGCATGTCAATAGAACAATATTGACGTAGTATTAAATTTTTTAAATCATAAAAACACCCCCTAGTGGTGTTATGTTCGTACAATTCAAATCTCTTCGTCGTCTTGCAAGCTTAAAAGAACGATCTCAGCACGTACCTAGACCCTCAAATACTTTGCATCCTAAATTCAAGCTCCATCTTACTATGAGCCTTATATTCATCTATTTCGAGAATATTGGTGCATATGTTCTATTTACTGTGAGAGGTTTTGATGTACTCCTGGAGAATTGTCAATACATGATTATCTGTTTAAATGGTCAAAATGAAAACGGATTATCCTCGGGAATCTTTATAGGCTATGCTACTGGAAGAATCTTGAATTCGTCCCGTTTTGTCGAAGGAACGACTTCACAATTTGTTCACGCGCCCATCAATGGAATTTACCGCGTTAGCAGTAATGAAGAGTTGACCCTCGTTGGTTATATTTCTCAAGAAAACTTAATGTCGCTTTATAGGTGCTATTGCTCCGTTTGTGGGTTATTGCTTCGATTTCCTAGCAATCTAACTACACACTCGAGGGTTCATAACGGAGATAGACGTAGGTTTAAATTTTATTTATGTACCGCTAAAATATTTAAAGATTTCATGAATAACCCACTTTTTTTTTTTTTTTCTAGCGTATTCCTGTTCAAGGTGTAATGAGTACTTCCAAACTACTAGCAATAGAAACCGTCACGAAAGAAATTGTCGTCGGTTGAGCAGAAATTCGTAAACTTTTCAGTAAAGGCAAACAATATTTCAAAAGCTACACTAGGTCAACAAACGACGTCACAAGCATTCGCAAGTCCATATCGAAGATAGCGTGTATTCACGTGGTGCGAAAATTAAGAAATTTTTTAGGAAAAATAATATTCGCAAACGACCAAAATCAACTTATACAAACACTTTTGCATAAATAATTGAAGGATATATTAAAATCTTTCTTTGGAAATAAATAAAAACCTATGAGCGTAACAAAAAAGTATACAAATAGACGAAAAAGAAAAAATATGAATTTTATTTTAAAGATACAAGATATTTATATAAATAAAAAGAGCTGCTACTTTTTTAATTACCTATTAAAGTCAATGTTTATAAATAATAGTATTTGTGATTTATATTAAAGGTTCCTTTTTTCCCACCTTGCTTGAATTTATTTTTATTGGTCTTTTTAAAAGAGAGTTACATTTTACGCTTATTGTCACTAGACTAAGTTCTTTATGTAACAATGAGAATGTTGTACTTCCGTATCCAATTTTGATTATAAATCATAAGTGTAACCCGAGAACATACGATCCTATTTTGTAATGCATCCTAGATATATCATCTTCTCTTACACATCTCAATAGTCTGCATTGAACTTAAACAAACCATATAGTATCAACTATGTAGAATTTGTGCTGCGGTTTCCGTCGTCACAAAACAAGGGAAATTTCGTGAGAATCCCATAATATGTTCCTTGTCCATGTTAATAAGATTACATTGCACATAGTGGTTTCACGTAATATAATTAAATTCAGACCAAGAGGAGGAAGAATCGATTATTAATCATTATCGGTACAACAAATGAAAGCCAAAGTGTTCGTCGAATTAATAGAAAAAATATCAATTTAGAAATAGAGGTTTACTATTACCAAATAAGGTAACTTTAATTGACAAATATACCTTATATGAATACTTCTTGGCTTAAGGAAGAAAGAACTACCCAAGAAGTCACTACAAGAAAAAATTGTACCATGATTTTTGCTGTAACGTGACCCGCATTGTCGTCAATCGGCATAATCGCGATGATCTCGCTGTGCCGCGATTACGCAGCAATTCGTTATTGTATGATTGGTGATTTTATTATAGCGACCATAAATAAATACAGTACCTTGTTGCAATTTAGTAGTTCAGTTGGAACTAGTCCAACTTGGTGAAACTTGGAGCGACCTAAACTATCGATCTAACCAGTTCACAATATAACAATACAAATTTAAATATCACGTATACCACAGCCAATCAATTCTCATTGTTTTGTGATAGTCAAGCATCCTTTATTAGTTTAAACCTGAGCAGGCATTTAAAAACCGTTAGTTACGAACCTGGTTACGTAGTCATATAAATTACGTAATTTATTTGCCGCGACAATCACGGAACGATTCGGTGAAGTATATTTATTAAGGAACATTAAACGAATCCAAATTTTTTAAAACATTGGTGTGTGAAGCTAAGTCTTGGAGATCAATTATATCCTCGAGTTAAAGTCCCGGAACCAATAATTTGTTTTTTTTTTTTTTTTTCAATTGATAAGGCATGTATTATTTGCTGCACAATGACATATGTGATTAAAAATTGATTATGAGAATTAATTTACTTCTCTATCAAATCTCGAACCCTTGTGTATCCTTAGATTCTTTACTCTGTGCTTTCCGAAGTTGTTTTGAAAATACAACTGATGACCAGATTTTATTATATTTATTTGCACGGATACAATTTTTTAAAATAATAATGAGCTAAATATAATGGTTTCCAAACACTCTGTTAAATAACGTTAAAAAAGGAAAATGGATAGCTTCTGAAATATTATTTGTCAGATTTTTTGTCAATCGTTGAACTTTCGCCCTGTCAATCTAAGGCAATTTTATTTTTTATATACTTCCCGGATGTTCATTCGCTTATTGCGAACACGATCCATTCTCTAAACGGTGGTTCCAAGACTGAAAATAATAATCATTAATAAAAATAAAAAAAAATATCCGAAATATATCTTTTCTGTTAACCTAATTTGGAAAGTACGCAACCCTTCTCGATAGGTATTTTCTCTTTTAATAACAGCACCTGAAAGGTTTCATAATTGACAGGTCCGGTAAAAGAACTCATTGGTCATTGTATATATATGATAGACCTTAAACCAAGATCAATTAGAAAATACATATATACACTATTTTCTTTAAAAAGAAGTACATTTTTCATTATTGTCCTATTTGATTTGAAAAGTCAATTTTATTCATAAGATCAAACTTTTGCGAGAATGCATATATACAAGATATTGATTACCATTGAAATTTTCAAATCTAAATATAAACCAATGTTATTGGAGCGAGCGCAGCCCGATTCTCTAAAACCCACCCGGATTGCAATTTTTTTTAATACAAGTCAAAGTGTAATTTGCTTGATATCAGCTGATTGAAGTTGTCAAGTATAAGAATTGGTTCCTGATGATTTTAGTTACACGCACGCCGGCCCTTCCATTATGGTAAAGATCTATTAGTTTTCTTGGGCATTATATATAAAAAATTTTTCATCATTTTAATATTTAAACAATCGTACTTCCTAATAACTACCCAAAGAACTCTTTCGATCTTATTCTTCACAACAAAGATCCATAATCCGAATCTCATAGTAGCTTTTACCATGGATTTCATTTTGGTCCATTACGACAACAGGAACGAAACTAGTGTGTACTTCACGAGAAGACATGATATAATCACAGCGACCCTCCAATACATTATCGTCCGTTTGAATGTCAAGATGAAAGTGGGTTGTTCTTTGGTACCTTTGTAGGCTATGCCTCTGGAAGAAGTTTAAATTCATCCGGTTTCGTTGAAAGCTCGGCTTTACAATTTGTTTACCCATACACCAGTGGAATATACCGCGTTGATGATAATAATGAACTTATTCTCGTTGGCTATATCAGTCACGAAAACTTGCGATCGCTATATAGACACAGATGTCCTGAGTGTGAACGATTATTCCGTTACCCAAGCATTTTGAACAATCATCTAAACGTTCATACTGGGAGATAGGCGTATGTAGTTTCGCTAAACAACCTATGATTATTTTTAATTCACCGTTGAAAGACTTCAAAGGTCAAATGAATAATCTGCTTTTTGTATTTATTTTTTTATTTTTTTTAGCATATGGGTGTCCATTGCCAGGGTGTAATCGATATTTTCGAACATCTAGCAATAGAAATCGTCACGTAAGAATTTGTCGTCAATGGAGTGTTTAGAATTCCGTGCCAAAAAAAAAAAATTCTAATAATATGATAGATAGGGCAAAATTGTATATTTTTGTAAATTTTAATAAATTTTTTTATTTTTATTTTATTTTATCTCTCATGTTAAAAAAGTCATTAAATTTAATATGGTATACTCGGCAATTATTTAAGATGCCAAATATTCGCCGGAAAAAAATACATGCTCTACAAGGTGTCTCTTAAATAGTTTTTGTTAATCTCCCTGGGAGTACAATTTACGCTTATCGTTTCTAGACTTAAATATTTTGCTTGATTTGTTTCTCCGGGAATGTTCTACATGTAACAATGTGAATATTTAGGCATCCAATTTTAAAATTAAAGAATCACAAAGTGTAACGCGTTATATCTTCTAGGAACCAAATAAAGCCACTTTGCAAACGAAGCTTGAATGAAAATAACTCTATATATGGATTTAGTATTAAAACATATATGGCGATGTTTGCACATCTTTAAGGCAATATCATTTATGGTTTTAAAGAAATGCTTTTTTCATTTAGTTTTATGGATAGTGTATTCTTTTCTTTTTTGATCTCCGGCGTTTAATACAGAAACAATCTCCTTTGCGATGCACAAGTAAGATGAGTCCGACCTGCACTTAAACTTTGTGTTCATATTTGTGATACGGTTCTATTATTTAAAAAAATTTCCTTTTTTTCACGTTCATGCTGTACGCATCGGTTTCACGTGACATATCAAGTTCTATACGCGTAACAAATTATTCTGCATTTATAATTTTAACTGCCGAAATTATAATTGCCATTTTTATAACTAAATTTTTGTGTTGTATCTTAAGGGTAATTTTAAAAATACTAATAAATTAAATTTATTTAAAAATATATGTATGTGTTTATGACTTGAAAACAAATAATATTAAAAATATAAAAAAACAATTAATTATTATATTTTTATTAAACAATCTACTACAGTACTTTGTTATTTAATCATTTATAATTTTACCACTAATATACAAAATATCATACCGGTCTTGTTTTCATCATTACAATTTTATATTTTTAAATTTTCACTAATAAACCATTAAACCAATCATGACAAATTTATTTTTGAGATTTATACTATTCATTTATTTTATTTCATATTCTGTATATATACAGTATATACATATTAGCTTTAATTTTGGATTTTGGATTTTTGTAATGATTTTGTTTTTTTAATAATATTCAAAAAAAAAAATCAATTTTTCATATAACATCATAAATTAATCAAATATTTAAATTATATGCAATTAGTTGAATTTGCAGTTTCATATAAGTCCATCACAATTTTTTAAATAATTAATTGTTGACATTAAACTTGAAATTTTTGATTATGATTTGCTGAATTTATGAAAAATCCACATTTTATAAATTATTGTTTTAAATCCTGTTAAATTCATTAATTTGTTCTTATTTTTATACAATAATTTGTGTAATTACAATTATATAATTATACTGTATATAATGCAAATAGTTAAATCAAAAAAAATATTCATTTAAGCATTATAAATTTTAATATAATATTTTTTAAAACGAATACTTATTATAAATTAGAATATTAATTATATAATTTTTTTCTTAATTTTTTAATCAAAAAGATATTAAAGTTTATTAGTAAATGGAATCAAATTTAAATAATATAATTGAAAATTTTTATACCAATCCAAAAAATTATATCTAAAAAAATATATGAATTAATCAATCCTATTTTTAAAAATAATAATTACTTAGAATGTACTTTTGATATTATATAAAAAAATTATTAATAAATACTTCAAAAATATTTTATAAAAATGTTTTAATTAGAATAAATTTTCTGATTAGTTTAAATATACAATATAAAATAAAAACAATTGCATAATACATTAATTTTTATTTTGCAATATTTAAATTATTACTTAATAAATTTAGATAAAACTTTATATTAATATGATTATAAATATAAAAAATTAGTCCAACTTTTAAATCCAATTGATGAAATTTGTAACTCACTACAAGATAGCAAACACATTTTTCAAGTAGTCAATATTTCCTTAATTTCTTCTTTTATGCAATCCTTCAAGAAATTGGTCTTTAGCAATACTATTATATACAAATACATAAGGATTACTTATTCATCAATAATACCAAAGTAAATCTTTTTAACTCATGCCTATCACCAGATAATACATTATTCATAATATTTGATATTACTTAATAGAGCCCTCATAACAGTACTATTGAAATCAAAAGTAACAAAAAAATCCTTTAACCCATTTTTAAGTATCCTAAAAGAATAATCAAATTTAACTTCTTTTCAATAATTCAAAAATTCAAAATCATACTTAACAAAAATTTATAGAAATTATATATATCAAATTCAAGTCCAAATTAATATCAGTCAAATTTATACAATGGAATAATCTCTTGCCACATTTTCTAAAGTATCTCTTAATCAACAATTCTTGTTTGAGCAGTAATATTAAATGGTGCAAAAAAATTTTTAGCATTACTAAAATTAATATAATTTGAAAAAATATATCAGTTCTTTAAACTTTGGATATTTAGATATTCTGCATAGTGTAACATGAAAAAGTGGCAATGCGTATATCACCAACATCAGTCACCAAGACATATCATACCCCATAATTAAAACAAGCCATGATGGAACAATAGCCAGCACATGAAAATATAGAAGCTATAGTAGAAAAATATTGCATAAGTGAAAAAAGACCAGGAAAAGTTATATGCTATGACTCTGCTTAATAAAATTAATTAATTATATAAAATGATGATGAAACAATAATATATTATATAATAGTTTAGCTGTGATTTCATTACTTTATTTTATTTTTACTTTTTTTTATTTGTATATTTTATTTTCTCATTGTAAATACTTATGTAATTACTGGACTTAATATTGTTACACTTGATCTTCGCTCAACATTTTATCTTATCCTTATAATAATCCACTAGCATTTAGCCCCTGAAATACTTCCTTTTTGTTTTAGAATTTCTGTACTATTGATCTACTATAGTACTTTCACCTACTTTGCCTACTTAGCCATCTCTGCCTATTCTGAAATATTCTTTAATTTTATTTACTATTATCACTTTGCTATCTTCGCCAGAGTATTCATCTCTACCAAAGTAAGTATAG